CAATATTACAAACTAGTAATACACAGGAGATAGCAAACAAGGGGACTCCACTAGCAATAGTGAGGATATATTACCAAAAAAAACAAATGGTGAGAGCCTCATTGTTATTGTTAGTGCTAGTGAGGATAGGAAAGAGACAGGTAAACATGCACCAACAGGGAATACAGTCACAGAAACCAAAAGCAAACGAAAACCAAGCCTGTGCACATACTATGCACTTGGTATCTGTAGGCATGGGATATCTGGAAAAACAGATGGGACGTGCAACTTTGACCACCCTAGAAAATGCCGTGCCCATATAACAACAGGAAAATGCAAACTCCCTTCCTGTAAGCTTTTTCACCCTGAAATGTCTCCCTCTTCAGTACAGGAAAGACTGTGCTATAACTTAAATTGCCAGGCACACCATCTAAAGGGGACAAAAAGATACAAACATCCAGGCCATGGAAAAACCTGGGTAGCCACAGCCACTCAAGAGGGAGAGGTTTTTTAGTGCCAGGAAGGAAAAAAAACTGGCAGGAAATGGCAGAAATCATACACCAAATCCAGTCGTTCCTGGAGTGGAACCACAGTCGATGGCCTCCACTCCAAACCAACAGATACAGATATTAATGCCGGAAAAAAAGTCCCCCCCCCAGTACCACCAATACTACAGTCGATGACATTCTTCTTTGCAAATATACAGGGTCTAAAGCCAGCAACGAACAACAAAATACCTTTCATCCGTGGACTGCTTGCAGAGGCAAATGCAATGTTCGCGGCTTTCACAGAGACCCACATAAAGGATCACTTGGACAACGAAATATGGATCCCAGGTTACAACCTATACAGATGTGACAGAGTGAACAGGCAAAAGGGGGGGGGGGTTTGGCCTGTACATTGCAGAGTCACTTGTTTGCACAGAACTGCTTAATGCCTCAAATGATGTAGTGGAAGTTTTAGCAGTAAAGATCGAGAACCAAAGCCTAGTCATTGTGGTAGTCTACAAGCCTCCGGATGCTACGTCCCAGCAATTCCAGGAACAGCTGTTAAAAATTGACCACTGTTCTGGAAAATCTGCCAGCTCCTGCCCCAACATCTTGCTCCTGGGGGATTTCAACTTAAGGCACCTAAAATGGAGGAATATAGCAAATAATGTTGTTGCAGTGTATAACACCAGGAGGCAGCTCTTACGAGAACTCACACACTCACACACACACACACACACACAACGAGCTTTTAAAATTCTGCACAAAATTCAACTTAAACCAGCAAATAATAGAGCCTACTAGACTGGAAAATACACTAGACCTCATCTGCACTACAATGATCTGATACGAAATGTCACCATATCAAAAACAATATACTCAGATCAAAATGTAATCGAGGTTCAGACATGTATGCACGGAGCCCCAGACCGACAAAATGAGATTAGTCACGAGGGAGCCTTCATCAAATTCAACTTCAATAGCAAGAACATAAAGTGGGACCAAGTAAACCAAGTCCTAACCGATATAAGCTGGGAAGATAGACTAAGCAACACAGACCCCAACTTATGCCTAGAACAGATAAACTCGGTGGCGCTCGATGTATGCTCAAGGCTTATTCCTTTAAGAAAAAGGAGGAGTAGATGTAAAATAAAAAGAAACAGGCGCTCCCTTTACAGGCGACGAAAAAGAATAACAGAGCGGCTAAAAGAGGCCAATATATCTGAAATGCGTAAGGAGTCACTGGTCAGAGAAACAGCAAACATCGAACTTAAGCTTAAGGAATCTTATAGGAGTCAGGAATCGCGGGAAGAACTAAAAGCCATAAATGAAATCGAAAGAAACCCAATGTATTTCTTCTCCTATACCAAATCAAAGTCGAAAACAACGTCCAGTATTGGGCCCCTACTTAAACAAGATGGGTCCTACACAGATGACAGCAAGGAAATGAGTGAGCTACTCAAGTCCCAATATGACTCAGTTTTTAGCAAGCCGCTAACCAGACTGAGAGACGACGATCAAAATGATTTTTTTTTATGAGAGAGCCACAGAATTTGGTTAACACAATCCTATCCGATGTTATCCTGACACCAAATGACTTCGAACAGGCGATAAATGACAGGCCCATGCACTCTGCCCCAGAGCCAGACTCGTGGAACTCCGTGTTCATCAAGAACTGCAAGAAACCTCTATCACGAGCTTTTACCATCCTATGGAGAGGGAGCATGGACACGGGGGTCGTCCCACAGTTACTAAAACGAAATGACATAGCCCCATTCCACAAAGGGGGCAGTAAAGCAATAGCAAAGAACTACAGACCAATAGTACTAACATCCCATATCATAAAAATCTTTGAAAGGGTCCTAAGAAGCAAGATCGCCACCCATCTAGAAACCCATCAATTACACAACCCAGGGCAACATGGGTTTAGAGCAGGTCGCTCCTGTCTGTCTCAACTATTGGATCACTACGACAAGGTCCTAGATGCACTAGAAGACAAAAAGAATGCAGATGTAATGTATACAGACTTTGCAAAAGCCTTCGACAAGTGAGACCATGGCGTAATAGCGCACAAAATGCGTGCTAAAGGAATAACAGGAAAAGTTGGTAGATGGATTTATAATTTCCTCACTAACAGAACACAAAGAGTAGTAGTCAACAGAGTAAAGTCCGAGGCAGCTACGGTGAAAAGCTCTGTTCCACAAGGCACAATACTCGCTCTCACCTTGTTCCTCATCCTCATATCTGACATAGACAAGGATGTCAGCCACAGCACCGTGTCTTCCTTTGCAGATGACACCCGAATCTGCATAACAGTGTCTTCCATTGCAGACACTGCAAGGCTCCAGGCGGACATCAACCAAATCTTTCAATGGGCTGCAGAAAACAATATGAAGTTCAACGATGAGAAATTTCAATTACTCCGATATGGTAAACACGAGGAAATTAAAACTTCATCAGAGTACAAAACAAATTCTGGCCACAAAATAGAGCGAAAAACCAACGTCAAAGACCTGGGAGTGATCATGTCGGAGGATCTCACCTTCAAGGACCATAACATTGTATCAATCGCAGCTGCTAGAAAATGACAGGATGGATAATGAGAACCTTCAAAACTAGGGATGCCAAGCCCATGATGACACTTTCAGGTCGCTTTTTTCTATCTAGGCTGGAATATTGCTGCACACTAACAGCACCTTTCAAGGCAGGTGAAATTGCTGACCTAGAAAATGTACAGAGAACCTTCACGGCGCGCATAACGGAGATAAAACACCTCAATTACTGGGAGCGCTTGAGGTTCCTGAACCTGTATTCCCTGGAATGCAGGCGGGAGAGATACATGATTATATACACCTGGAAAATCCTAGAGGGACTAGTACCGAACTTGCACACGAAAATCACTCACAACGAAAGCAAAAGACTTGGCAGACGATGCAACATCCCCCCAATGAAAAGCAGGGGTGTCACTAGGGTGTCAGGGGCCCGAGACTGTTCATCTGCCTCCCAGCATACATAAGGGGGATTACCAATAGACCTCTGACAGTCTTTCAAGCTGGCACTGGACAAGCACCTAAAGTCGGTACCTGACCAGCCAGGCTGTGGCTCGTACGTTGGATTGCGTGCAGCCAACAGTAACAGCCTGGTTGATCAGGCTCTGATCCACCAGGAGGCCTGGTCACAGACCGGGCCGCGGGGGCGTTGACCCCCCGGAACTCTCTCCAGGTAAATACATAAATGTGTATATGCGCATGTGTATATCTTTGTGTATGTAACAGAGTTTAGTTTATTCCCCATTTTGAGGCGTTACAATAGTCTAAGTTATAATAGACCGACCTGTATGTTCAGGTGTGGGCTGTCTTCAGCTTGGTTGCATGTATGTTTGTGTGTGCTGGTTGGGCAGTAATCACACATTTACAGTTGAACGTGTGCTTCTTATGTATAAGTTTAGTGCTGGGATAGGGAATGTGGAGTTGTTTGTTTTTATTATTTAATGGATCACGTTACTTTGTTTATGTAACCTAAGTATAGCATACATGTATTTTTTTTTATTCGCTGTTACTCTCCCGGCCCGGGTCTTTTCCAATGTTTATTGTGTTTTTAAATAAAATATAATATATATATATATATATAATATTATATATTATATATTATTATATATATATATATATATATATATATATATATATATATATAAATATATTTATCGTAAGTGTTTTTTTTTTTTGTTATTCGCAAGTGTTGTTATGATATATCTAAATTGGTGACAACAGTTTTATGAATTATAAAAATATTTTAATTTATTACGTTCGTATTTTAGGTAGTGGAACTTTTTAATGATAATTATGAAGGTACAAGGATAGTGCTAGGATAGTAGGGGTGACCTGGGGGGGGGGGAATAGTCTACTCAGTAGCGCATCAGCTGTCATCCAGGGTGGGAGTGTTAACTTCTGGTTGTGTCCATTGTTGTCTGAGGATAACTCCATATATACTAAGAGGTGTACGTTTGTTGTATATACACGAAGTTTACATTTATCCCTGTTTTATGGATTAAATAATTCTTGGCTAACCAGATGCTGCCGATTTTAGGTGAGTTTGTAACTTAAATTTGTTTTAAGTGTGTTGTGAATTTGGTGTTTATACTCCTTGCTGAAAGTAAAGATAAGAACAACATATATTTGTGTAGTTAACAAGTGGTTTTTAATTAGGGAGGTGATAGGGGCATTATTTAACTTAGCTTGTATTATAATTGTTGCTGTCAAACTTGTGGACACTACGACCACACATTAACTAACTCTTCACTCATTACTTGCTCTAAATAGCCTGAGACCTGAATATGACATACTTATATATGAAAATGTGTACAGACATACACAAATTAAGGGGTCACTTATTAAGCTTTTGTCGATTCCCTTTCACATAGGCCTCCAGGAGCATGACAAAGTTGATTGACTCGCGAAATCGTAATGACACAATTGCACACAAACCATACTCCGGGTGGGGATAGAACTCGCGATCAGAGAGTCATTAAACTAGCGCGTCGGTCCAGAGTTTTATGACTAATCACGGGTTTTAACCCCGCCCGTGGTATGGTTAAAGTAGATGAATTAGTTAAACCACCATTAGAGAATGTAGTGTCAGTTTAGTTCAATTCAATATACTATGCACGCCATACCCATCCTTCGGAGGTAGTCAAAGGATTAGAGGTACATAATTGGTCAGGGACTGGGCAAGGTTTTGATAGCTAAATAAATTAGTCTCCTCAAGGAGGTCCTTGATGCTGGCGAGGGCTCTTGATCAGTGCTCCAGTTCCCTGATTAATGCTCAATACCTTCCCCCCCCCCCCACACAGGCGCTGTATATCCTATGGTTTTAACGCTTCCCCTTGATTATAATAATGAATAAGTAGTGGTGATTAACTATTTACATGTTTATATCTGTTACTAGCAAGCAAGTTTAAGGCAGGTAGAACAGTAGAACGGCAAATCCATTATCATCATAATGTGTAAATTCAACATATCTGGGGAGAAAGTAACAAGGTCATTAGGTTGCAAAATTTTACTGCTAGACTTGAAAAGAATACAGCATATGAATGACGTATAAGACACGCAATATTTGGGATTTTGATACGGGGAATTTTTCACTTGCCTAACCTATAGGTGAAAAGCTCTGTTCCAAGGCACAGTACTCGCTCCATCTTGTTCCTCATCCTTATATCCGACATAGACAAGGATGTCAGCCACAGCACCGTGTCTTCCTTTGCAGATGACACCGAATCTGCATGACCGTGTCTTCCATTGCAGGACACTGCAAAGCTCCAGGCAGACATCAACCAAATCTTTCAGTGGGCTGCAGGGAAAACAATATGAAGTTCAACGATGAGAAATTTCAATTACTCAGATATGGTAAACATGAGGAAATTAAATTTCATCAGAGTACAAAACAAATTCTGGCCACAAAATAGAGCGAAACACCAACGTCAAAGACCTGGGAGTGATCATGTCGGAGGATCTCACCTTCAAGGACCATAACACTGTATCAATCGCATCTGCTAGAAAAATGACAGGAAGGATAATGAGAACCTTCAAAACTAGGGGGCCAAGCCATGATGACACTCTTCAGGTCACTTGTTCTTCTAGGCTGGAATATTGCTGCACACTAAACAGCACCTTTCAAGGCAGGTGAAATTGCCGACTAGAAAATGTACAGAGAACTTTTACGGCGCGCATAACGGAGATAAAAACCTCAATTATTGGGAGCGCTTGAGGTTCCTAAACCTGTATTCCTGGAAAGCAGGAGGGAGAGATACATGTTATATACACCTGGAAAATCCCAAAGGGGGCTAGTACCGAACTTGCCACGAAAATCACCCCCTCGGGAAAACAAAAGACTTGGCAGACGATGCACCATCCCCCCAATGAAAAGCAGGGGTGTCACTAGCACGTTAAGAGACCATTCAATAAGTGTCAGGGGCCCGAGACTGTTCAACTGCCTCCCAGCACACATAAGGGGGATTACCAACAGACCCTGGCAGTCTTCAAGCTGGCACTGGACAAGCACCTAAGTCAGTTCGGATCAGCCGGGCTGTGGCTCGTATGTTGGTTTGCGTGCAGCCAGCAGCAACAGCCTGGCTGATCAGGCTCTGATCCACCAGGAGGCCTGGTCTCAGACCGGGCCGCGGGGGCGTTGACCCCCGGAACTCTCTCCAGGTAAACTCCAGGTAATAGGCATGGACCTACTTCCACATGTGGATTTGTCCAACTTTGATATCGCCTACGACTGCTTCACCTTGCCTATCTACAGTATATAAGCCACTTTGTGCATATGCTGTAATTTTTTTTATTTTTTTTTTTAAGATTGATGGACTGATTACATTGACTCCAGACCGAGGGACTGATTACCTTAAACTACTACTGATAATCACTGTTTAGGGCTGATGAAGTCACTGTGTGGTAAAATGTTTCCTAAAGAGATACCCAAATGTTGCACATGTCTAATTTATCAACTTGTTGGTTCTCTGAACCATTTGTCTACACACTTAACATGCTAAAATAAAAATTTTTGGGTCAGTGTGAATTTGCAATCAGGGCGCCTTAAGAATATATTGCCTACCCAACCCCTTTGAGGGATGGGGGGAAGGCTCCTTGCCACAGCGAAGAGCTATTGGTCTGAGGAATTGGACCCTTAGGTCTTCCTCAGACTGAACCTAATTACCTCCCAACACCCGCTTTCCTGCCCCATTCCTCCTATCCTCCCATAATCCTTTCCTGTTTTCAACCTTTGGGGTCTTTCCCTCAGGCATTCTACTTCCTAGATTGGGGGAAAGGGTACCATGGTTCATACCGTTCCGTTGAGATACTTGGTGGCAGTGTAGTTTGCCATAGAATCTGGATCGTCTGGAGATGTACTGATCCCTCTCCCATCTATTGGGGGGGGGGGGAGGCCTTGGGTGTCTTTTCAGGTGATGGGCTAATCTCTGGAGGCTAGCTGTCAAATTCCAGGAAGTGGTGGCCGAAGGAGGTATGCCCTATGGCGAGCATCTTACTGCCCTCTTTGTCTGCCGAGATGGCTCGGTATATGTGAAGTTGCTAGCCCAAATTGCAATTGCTGGTTTAAGGGCCTCAGCACAGCTAGCAGTGCATGCTAGCTGCACTGAGGCCCTCTTCGGCATGGAGGGGGATTTATGGCCCTTTCATTCATTCCTCCTAGGAGCTACCCCTCCACATCCCTACCCATTTGCCCTGTATATTCTGCGGGTGACATTTTGTCGCATGTTCCTGATGCCAAGGTTCGGCCTGACTCCTTTGACACGTCCAACTTCAGCACGTCTTTGACCATGCTTCCAGCTTCTCCCCATACAGTGCGATGGGACACTTTAAAAGTCTGAAAGTCGGTTCCTACATCACAACAGTGTAGAAGTTGCTGGCGTTTTGGCCATTCGGTGAAATACTGCAGGTCCATAGCAAAATGCCCAATCTGTGGTGCTGCTGACCATACCATTACATCTTGTAGCCTACCTCTTGCCTTAATTGTAATGAAGCTCTAACATCTTATTCTCATCGTTACTAAGTTTACTTGAATGAGAAATCCGCTGTCTGTGATAAAGGCTTTATGTACGCCATGGTACTGTCTCGTCTGTGCCTCCATGGGAGACTTCCCATATTTCTTATTCTCGAGTTAGTAAGGGGCCTCCAACCTCAGGGGTGGGGGGGGTCCCAACTCCTGCAGTCTCCCTGTGGTCACGCCTTCCAGTTACTGCTATATGTGTCTTTGCAGTCCTGGACTCAAAGGTCCCTTCCTCGTCACCTCATGCTGTTCTCAAATCTTTGTTTTATCGCTTGCAAGTTTTGATGTCTACAAGACTTCACCAACAGCATTCCCTTTGCCCTCTACTTCTAAATTCCAAACCATCCACATAATGTAAATCTCTCTTAACCACCTTAATCTTCCTGGACATTTTGCCTTCTCACTCTACCTAGTTCTTCACCTCTTACTAGCTATGTTAAAAGTGTGGAGGTTCATCCTTCCCCTCGTACAGTCCCCTCCCAGATTTCTTCACAACTTAACCCTAACCCCTCTCTCTTTCCCCCCCTCCCTTTGGCAACTTCGTTGCCCCGATCTTTGCTCTCCCCTTCCCTCCTGGAGGAGGGGAGGGGAGAGTAAAAATCGGGAATGCTTGGAGCTACTCAATCTGCACAACTTTCTATTCTTCAGCATTCCAGTCCTTCACTGCTTACTCGTTTTGCACTTTTCCACATGTGGACTTTACTGACCCTCCTAGTCTGTACACACTATTGCTTCGTATTTCCTGTATCCTTCTTTGCAAATCGTGGGTTATTTATAGTGGAATATTGGAGGCCTCAGAGGTAATCTGGGTAAGTTTCAGGTATTGTTCTCTGTTTTCGCATTTGTTTGTTTACAGGAATCCAAATTATGCTCTGCTGTTATCCATTCTGTTTCTGGTTTTATTACATTCGTTGGATCCTTTTCCTGATGAAACCTTTAATGAAAGTGCACTACTTGTATGTACTGGTATACCATACCATCCCATCAGATCTGTTCTTACTTCACTGCATTACACTGCAGTGCATATCTACTTGAATAAGTGGTATATGGTTTGTTCTTGTATCTCTCTCCTTCTTGGGTATTATCTATTCCAGATGTTGCATTTCTGGTTTCTTCATTACTGCTCATTTTAATGCCACCATTTCTTCTAAGGGTTCTCACTGTGACCCTCACAGCATTTAAGGGCTCTTTTCACTTCTCCCCCCCCCCCCTCCATGATTTAACCCCTTCACTGTCAGTGCCGTAATATTACAGCTTGCAAGCCAGTGTTGGTGCCATGACATTACGCCAAAATTTTGGCGTAATGTTATAGCACCAATCTTGCAGAAGAAAGCTGATAGGCCTACATATGAGAGAATGGGTCTGAGTAGTCAGTGTGCACAGTATAAAAAAAATCCTGCAGCACAGTGCATAATGAGGAAAAAATGTTTTTGGTTTAAAATGCCAATTTTGCAGTGTATTTTAGTATATGGTTTTATTCTCATTATCTTGGTCTCGTTTGATAGAATGGAAGATATATTACA